GGCCTTTGCTCCCCTTCCGGGAGCCACGCGACAGGCCACTGGAGTTAGAGGACTCCTCCGAGCTTCATGAAAGCTGACGTGACTAGGATTAGGGTTTAGGGTCCAGGGTTTCAGGTCTAGGGCTAGGATTTCGGGTTTAGGGCTCAGGGTTTGGGGATTAGGGTTCAGGTCTCTTGTAAACGGGCAACGGCCAGCCACAAGAGCTAGCTTAATACAGTTGCAGTGTTTGTCCCTACACGAGCACTAACAGTAGGAATCCGGAATGTAGGGGTCAGGGATGTTCGGGTTCAAGGCTTCGGGTATTGAAGGGTGTCGAGCGTAGAAGAGAAATCACGGTTCAAGAGCGTGCAGCCTTCGGCGAAGAGAGGCCTACAACGTTTCGGATGAGTTGCCCATGAACCCCTAAACCGCCAAACCCTAAACCCTACACCTTAAGATCCTACATTTTCTCGAGCGTAAGGCGTCAAGCTTGGAGGGTTTAGGGGCCTCTAGCATGGAAGCTGTAGCGATATAGGATGCAGGATTCCCGATGGTTAGGGGGCCTTCGGGTTACTCGAAACCCACAGACCCACTGATGGTAGGGTGGACTGGTGGACCCTGCTTTGAAGTCTCCAGGCCTGGGCCACAAAACGCTACACATACTCCATACCCCCGCAGGCCGACCCCGAAACCCAACCCTATGACACCTCACGGTATAACTTAACATAATGTAACATGATAGACTATGAAACCCATAAAATCCGAAGACCGTACAAGCCAGAAAAAGGGAGAGAGAGAGAGAGAGAGAGAGACCGACTCATCCTCGTGGGTTCCTGACATCTCCGGCCTTGCTGTGCACGCTCAAGCGTTTACCGTCGTGGTCCGCCTGGGGGCCTGGACCGGGAGTTCATGGGTTCAGGGCGGTTTGGGACTTCCGTAGTTGGCTGGTTTGGGAGTCCGGGGGCTTCTGAGAGTTTAGGGTTTAGGGCTCTAGGGTTTACGGTTTAGGTTCTAAGTACCTTAAATCCTAAACCCTAAACCCTAAAAAAGGGATCCTAGTGGGGCTTGCAGCTTTTGAGGCTCTCTTTGGAGATGCCCCCCCACCACAAAACGCGTGATGTTGTCGCGGTAGCCGTAGGCCCCGTTCTTGAGGGACGGGGCGAGCGTGTACGAAGCGGCATCAGAGCCAGTGACCCAAACTTGAACTCCTCGAGTTTACGGTTCAAGGGTTTAGGGTTTAGGGTTTAGGGGGGGCCCTAAACCCCAAACCACCAAACTGCCCATTTCAAATCCCTGCGGCCTCGCAATGAGGAGCGCTGGCTGCGGCGGCGACCCGCACCCAGGGGTTCGGAGGATCTGACACTCAGGGGAAGATGGCGGGGATGCGGAGGTGGTGCTAGTGACCCTTGCTCAAACCGTACTATGATACAATAGTTCCACCCCGTTTAGGCTCCGATGTCTCCGAGGGTAGAAGAAGGTGCTTAGTGGAGTCCTCTCGTCACCTAGATCAGTGAAGAAATGCAGAGGTGAGAGGACCGGGAAAGAAAATGAAGAAAGACTGCTGACGATAACGATGATGATGATGCTGATGATGATGATGACGACGAAAAGAACAATGGTAATAGTAAGGTGATGGTTCTGACGTGAGGATGAAGAAGGTGCTGACAATGATGACGACGACGGCCAGGATGCGATGAACACGGTACTCAGGCTGGACATGAAATCAAGACTGCGTGCATGATCAAGACGACGACGCCGGCGGCGGCGAAAACCACAACACGACGACGACGACGACGACGACGACGACGACGACGACGACGACAGTGTTGATGATATTGCTGTGGAAGAAGCTGATGTTGAACATGATGACGGCGATAACGACGATGACCAGGGTCATCATCATCACCATCGCCACCATCGCATTGTTGTGTATATAGCATAAAGCATGTCACCGTCATCACCGTCACCTTAGCCACGACACCAGTCATATCGCCATCGCTATCATCACTAGCATTGCCATCGCCATCGTCATCGCCAACATCATAGCCATCACAATCCCAAGCACCACCATCATTACTTTCAATGCTCTTGCGGCACATGCCCACTTCAATGCTAACACTAGTAGCGTCGTTGCGACGGCGCCGTCGACCACGACGACTTCCACTGCTGCTGCTTGACCTACTTCTGCTGCAGCGTACGGCTTCCGGTGCAGCTGACACCTTGCACAGCCCTGAACAGCAAACCCGAAGCTTCAAACCCTCCAAAACCCCATCATAGTCGAGTCACAGCAGTACGAACCGAAGTAACAACACAAGCTCTAATGACAGAGCAACAAAAAAAAAACTAGAGGCCTAAGGCCTACACCCCAGCATGCTCGACCTGAGACATGTTCAAAACGGCAGGTTTAGAACGACACCGAAGCCCCCTGCGAACCGGAGAATAAAGCTCCAGAGAGCAGCAACCTTCTCCCCCCCCTCCCACTCCCCCCAAAGCCTAAACCCTAAACCCTAAAAACCCTAAACCCTAAGAACCCTAAACCCTAAAAACCCTAAAAACCCTAAAACCCTAAAACCCTAAACCCTAAACCCTAAAAAACCCTAAACCCTGAACCCTAAACCCTAAACTCTCCCCTTTGTAAACCCAAAACAGCTGAGCTCCTCACTCGGGTCCTCGGGCCGAGGTCGGAGGGGAGCTGCCCTCGCGGTGCTCCTGGGCTTCAGGGGGTCCAGACTATGGTATTCTGCGGCTTCTATGCATTTTTTTAGGGCTTTGGGTGTACGGTTTAGGGTTTGGGGTTTAGGGTTTAGGGTTTGGGGTTTAGGGTTTAGGGTTTAGGGTTTAGGGTTTGGAGTTTTTCATGAAGGGTCTACGAGGGTTTTGTAAGGGTTGCGGGTTCATGGGTGAGGCATGTCGGGTCATCTGTGACATTGGGCATTCTTCTTTCTCGCCACGATTCATAGTGTGTGGAACAGGATGATCTCTGTTGTTACGATTGTTCTAGCCAATCTTGGTATTCTTGCGGTACAAAGCACTTACGAATGTGTTCTGCACCTCTGATCAGCTTTAGACTATCCTCTTTATTGGTATCCTGACTACCTTCATACCCTAAACCCTAAACCCTAAACCCTAAACCCTAAACCTACCTTCATGCTTTGTTGGCATCCGCATGATTGTAGGATTTATGGATGCACCCTGTCTTGAGGCCTTACAGGCTCGGGGAGGGAACTGAACTCCACTCCGGTGATTGCTGAAACAATCTTAAGAAGAGGACCTGAAAAAAGGTACACTTTGGAACCTGGGCCCTGTTGTGTTGAGTGGTTTGCTCTCTTTTTCTCAAAACTCTCTTGTCCCTTTCGAGAGGTTTGCTCCCTTTTTCTCAAATTCTCTGGTCCCTTTCGAGCGGCTTGCTGTCGTTTCTAAAGTACTCTAGTCCCTTTCCAATGCTCAGGCTGCAGTTTCCTCACCCCAGCATAGGCCACACCTCGAACGCAAAAGTTCCCAATGGCAACCCAGCGAACCTCAGCATTCAGCAAACCGAGGTCAATGAGCAGATAGTCCATGTCGGACCGCCTCCGATTTCTGCGAAGTCTGCGTCTCCAAATCAGGGCTCAGGGTCTCTGGATCGTCTTTAGGTTGAGCCTTGTGTTTGGGGCTTAGGGTTTAGGGCATGCCTAGTTTAGGGATAGGTGAGGGCATTGGAGAATTGGATAGGGCTTGGGCCTGAATCCCAACTAACTACCTAGCCATTTTGAAAGACAAGGACTATGGCTATTCTCGCTTCTTTGTTTCCAACACGTATGAGCTACTGTCAATGTTGTCAGCAACTTCAACAAAACCTGGTTCCTCAAGCGGGCATATCACAAGAGCCCTTCGTTTCTACATGTAGATCTATGTCCAAACCTCTATCTGTGCCTATATCTATGTCTGTCCATCTGTCTGTCAATTGTTCTAAAGAATCTATCTGTAAATCTATCTATCCATCTGTCTATCCATCCATCTATCCATACATACATACAGACATACATAC